AGGGAATAAAAATATACTACAGACACGTATCTCATATAATAGGACCCAGGCAGTGATGACAATTGTCTTAGCAGTCAAATCTTCCCTGAATTTCTGACATGTGTTAGAAGCAAAATCTATTCTAAGTAGCGAAGTAATAAGGGACAGGGTCCAGAAGGATCTTTACTGCCAGGCAGACTGGAATTCTGCAGGCCCTGGGGAGCAGTCTCAAAGACAGTCATGAATCTTTAACCAGGAACAGCACTTCCTACAAGATAATTATCATGCAAGCAGCAAAAGCTGCAGAACACATGTCATTTCTGAACTGTTTCAAATAACCTATCCTGTTCGCTCAGTTACAACCTTCCAGTGCTCAGTAAGCAACACAACTAAGGTTTGTTCTTGGTGGCAGTGCAACAGGTTGCTGTACAGAAGGGTTCTGCTCCGCTGCGTCGGTGGGGAAAGGAAAAGTCATACGCGCTTGCACTGGGGCTTCAGCTGAGTGTGTGGAGGGGAAAGAAAAGGGGAAACCAGCCCAGACTCTATCAGCCATAGGATAACGTGATGGCAACATACTGCCGACAAGCTCTCCCCGTGAAGGCAGCAGCTCTCCCATTTCAAGACTATGCCGAGTTCTTGCAGGCAGCGTGTTGCAGGCAACTGCACAGGCTACTGCCTGTCAGCTGCTGGGTGATTTTTGGTGCCTCTGTAAAGCGGTATGTTCTGTGTGCAGCCGTTCATTTAAAAAGTGCTAGTATTAAGCTGTATACATTTCTCAAAGTGATAAGGTGGGTGGTCCTCCCATCGCACTGCACGAGACACAGTGCAGGATTTAATACAACGGCTACTATTGCAATCAGCATGACTATAACATCAGATAAAAGAGACCGGGTTTTTAACTCTCTGGGAGCAATTAGTTTTCCAAGCTTTTGTATTTTTAAAATTAAGAATTGCCTTAACCAAACCATTCAAGTTGTATATAATGAAGTGGGCACTAAGTTATGGAAGAGGCAATGTTTACCAGGCTTGGAAAATTGTCTAGCTGATGGCAGAAACAGTATGTTTGTAAAAAGGATCCCTGCTCATGAAGATCTCTGAGCTCCAGAAATGCTGCTTTTCTTGTTGCCTTTTCCAACCCCACTAAGCAAGGATACGCAGCAGAGCATCTGCAGCCTCCACACTTTGCAGATGTTCTGCTACACCTGGCCATTGTTTCCTAAAACAGGGAGAAAAAAATAAAGTGGAATTGCTCTGTGCTCTCTTGCAGTTCCTGGTAGTAGCTGTGCCTTTCTCCTTAACACTTGCCCTCTTAAGGGCACATTTTGCTCTCTTCAGGATGCATTTTCCATGACTGCTTTGAAGCCGACACTTTGCCTTCCCCCCCGTATGGCCCCGTTTTCATGCACCTGGACCGTAGTGACAGATTCTCAGGGCAATGACTGCTACGAAACGGCAATACATAAAACAGAAATGCTTCCTTCCCCAAAATGCAGCACGAATAGTTTTGTCAGGTCTGCATCACTGGCTGAGAATGTTTTTCAGCTTTTTCAAACCCTGTTTTGCTAAAGCATATGTACTTCATGTGCTGCTTGGGCTGGACGTGCTCAGATTTCCCAGCTGTGTCCATGTTTTGAGGTCAGCTACTTCAACAGAGAAATTTTTTCCTTTTCAGTGGGAGGAAGAGTACAAAGAACAGAGTCAGGGATATAACAATTCCCCATTATAAGAGGCACCGACACAGCCAGTACTAACTGGCACCCATCTCCATAGAAATGCCATGTACTGTAAGGATAAAGAAAATGAGTTATTATCCTTTAGCCGCAGGGGAAGCATTCCCAGGCACACGGAACAATGTGAGCGAGTCTGCATTGCTGCTTCTGCTGTTCCTGTACTATGGCTACAGCAGTGTTTCTCAACATTCATCCCTTGTACCCCTTCCCTCCAGGATACACTCCGTACGTTATCCCTCACCCTAAGTTTGCAAAGCGACTGGCAACACATGAGGTGGCTCGGCCTGGCAGCCACGTGCCCCCCTTCTGTCCTGCTATCCGAGTTTTCCACCTCTGCCACCAACCAAAGTCTTATGAGAAGAGTTTCAGCCCCTGCGGTGTTGCAGGTCTTCCTGGCTGTATGTATAATCCTACCCAGACCTCTATGGATATTCCCTGGGACAGGTTCTGCTGTCTCCCAGAGGAACATGCTTTGAGCACTGCTGGGCTAAAGAGCTGAGATTCTTTATACCACCAGGAAAAAAGAACCCAAAACATGATTATATATAATTTTAACCCCCACCACACCCCAAATCTTTACCATAGTATTAAATAGAGACAGTTATGTCCCTCATATGCACTTTTCCTTCCTCACTCAATAGAGGGGCAACCCTCAAATCTAAAGCTACTCAAACCTAAAACCTAAGCCTACTCAAACCTTCAAACCTAAAGCTACTCGGTGTCATCTAGCTCTGACACGCAGAGTCTCCCAGGACAGAAAATGAGGGCCAGGGAAAGGGTTACCCCTTCTGGTATCCTTCAAGGTGAAATACTGCAGAGCTGCCCTTTGGTAGGAAAACCAGTGACTTTCACTGGGATCCTCCCCAGGAACTGTAGTTGTCACTTCTCCAGATCATCAAGATAGCAGCTATTTGTACAGCTATTCCCTCCTGTCTCCAGCCTGGAGGTCCTGACAGGTTAGCCACAAAGCACACCGCTGTCATTTCAAACTAAAGTTTATCCAGGCAGAATTTTCCATGACCCTTTTTCATCTGTACTCAGCGAATCACTCAAGAATCAATAGTGACCACAGTGCAGTCTCTTAGTGGGCACATCAACCTCCAGATTCAGCAGTGAAGAGGTAAGTCAAAGGTACAGACAAACCTGCACAGCTTAGTGTGTGCTCTGTGGTGCTATGGGGTGAGCAGCTGAGTCAGTGAAGGGCTCCCCCCAAGAGCCACAGGCTCCAGTCACATCAGGATTGTATTATTTATTGTTGCTGAAAAGAAATGAAAGCAGAGCACTGTGTAGTGCTAAAATAATCAAAATAGTGACATTTCTGGACCAATTTCCTTATGATTCTCCTGTGGCTTCCTACAATTTAATTTGGGGTAAGCTGTGGCAGTGGTTAGGGAAGCCAAGGAGCTAAAGATTAAGCAGGTGGGACTCTTTTTCTTGGGCCAGTTCTGCCCGTACAATATAAGGGAGACAATAACACTGAACAAGGTAGAAAACTAAGATCCTAAGTCATTTGGCCAAGAGGCAGTTATGGGATAAATAGCTGCAGTTCACAGAGAAGTCTGGACTAAATCTGGGAGAGCTATGCAAGATGATGTAAACTGGCAAAGAAACAACTTTTCCTTCACCCAAAATACAAAAAGAATAAATAGGCAGAAAACCAGCAGGAGGTGGCACAAGGAGGAAGGCATTGGCTGCAAGAAGTCAGTCGAAGGCCCTTCATCCTCCCATTCACATTACATGTTCTATCTTCTTTAAAAAGTTCTTTCTGCCAGATTCTCCTTCAGATGTTTGGCACCGAGACGAGCGTAATCAGCCCCAGGTCCGCAACTTTCTTACAGGCCACCTTCCTCTCCCCTCCCCTCTCAGCATACAATTTCAGATGGTTCTTATTTCATTACTAGGTTTGGTTCTCAGACAATAAAAATGCAGCAGCATGTTACAATTAGCAGTGGAGTTCATACGCAACTGTACCTGCCTCGAAACCCACAGGAATATAAAGCGAGGCATTGCCAGGCAAGGCCTGAAACCAGATGCAGCCAAAAAGTTAAGATGGGTGGAGATAAAAGGAAACAAGACTTGCTCTTTGGCAAAAGAAGCAAGATGTAATGATGGCAAGTTCACAGGGTACTTTGCACAATGTGGCAGTGAGAACAAAGAAGTTGGGGGAAGACAGGATGAAATAGGAAAGGCTCAGGCCTCAGGGAAAGCAGAGAAGGGGGTCACATAGCCGGTAGGTGTCAATAAATGGAGAGTCTTAGACAACAAAAGATGAGTGGGCTGGTGCCAAGGCATTGAGAGGGAACACATCCTGAAATGGGGCCTTCAGTAGCCTAAGACGGTTTTGATAGCCCTGATTCACTTACTGTCTTATTTCCTCCAACCTCTCACAGCAGCTCATTTTGCACCATCCCATCAACAGAAGTGAAATCTTTGGGGTGAGAAAATCTCTGGGGCAAGAACAAAACTTACGACATTTATGCTGTGTCCCAAATAAACACAAGAGAAAGTTCTGCTTAAAAGCAGGTACCATGATGAAACAGTTAATTCTTTACCTTTCCTCGCTATCATGTTATGAGTATTTTAATGGCTTGAGCAGGCCATTTATCCACAGGTTTCTTTTCTGGGCATGAACTGCATTTTGCTGGCTTGGCTTGGGCTAAGGGCTAACATTCATCTGTGGTATCCAGCTGAGTAGAGAGGTTCAAAGAATGAATCCAAACCAAGCTTTCTATCCCACCCAAACTGACCCCATATAACAGAGAGTCAGTATATTTGTTTACAATTAGCATTTAACAAATACAAAGTGTAAAATCAGTCAACCTTGTGGCCCTTATGCAGTTCCTGTTCAAATTACTGAGACCTTTGTCATCATCTTATTTGGGAGAACTGAATCACCGACAGAACAGAGGTGGTGCTAGACTTGTCCTGCATGTAGGTTTATTTAAGCAATTCTGGTTTCTTAAGAAAGCACCTTTGTGTGTATATTCTTGTCCCTTGCGATGAGGTCAAAGTTCTATGATCTGCCCTGTGAAGTCTGAATTAGAGATGTAAAGCCAGAAGGAGAAAGAGCTCTCCAGTCTCAGAGGGAGCAACACCGCTTTCGCAAAACCTAGCAATCATTGACTTAGTGTTTGCAGCTCTAAGTTTAAAAGGGATGGTCAGTACGTAATGAACAGGGGACACAAGTTTATAAAGAGACATGGCTACGTTACAGAAGTCTGCTATTTCACACGGGTCAGCCCCCAGTACTGACGTACCATTCTGGTCTGCTGCACTGGTTTTCTAAGCAGAATGGTTTTACTCCTTTCAGTGCTCTTCGGCATACAGGCGCTGGGCTCCTGGGCTGCCGCTCCTCCTGCCAGAGCAGCACCGACTGCATTGCTTTCCCCCGCCTGCCATGACACTGCAGTAGAGGAGGCTGCAGACCTGGCTCTTCGCCAGACCAGTGCTGACTGAAAAGAGGACTACATACTCGGTCTCTACCGAATTTTCAGTGTCTGAGAACATCCTCGGGTAAGTTGCCTGCTTATTCTGTATGTGTTTCTCCTGCGAAGAGTCCTGTGTCTATCACTATTCCTTAGCAATGTCTATTTGAACTAAGAAATATTTCAAAAGGCAAGTGCAAAGTTACATTCACAGGACTCCAGAGGCCATGTCAACTTTACACACAGATAACTAGAAACAGTTTCATCACCACTGTGGGCAATTAGAGAGCAAATCTCAGTCACGATTCTCTACTGCTTGGCCCTGGAATAGCTCCAGGCATCAGTTCAAATTTGGTACGAAACACCAGTACTCTGATTTAATTTCATTTTACACCTTCCTCCCACTGCCTTGAGCAGTTGGAGTGCAAAGGCTATTAAGTCATCGTGCATTTTGCACAAAAGATGTAAGCGTGAACAGGTGTAAACACATCCACCTTGGGACCAGGGAATTCCTTCACAGACCTCTAAGTGATGACTCATTCTCCAGCAGAAATCTGAAACCAGTTCAAGTGCAAAAATTACACTGGAAATACCTATCAAATACCCTCACGTATCCTATTTCTCTACGTGTGCTTTATTTATTACTATGATGTGTTACAACTCCTGAGTCTACTGGCACTAGGCAGGGACAACCTGAAATGAGTGCACAAGGCCCACAGTTCCCTGCCACGCTTGCTCACTTCCCAGAATCTTACCCGGAAGGCCGAGTTCTGAACCCTTAAAGAAAATCAGGATTATGGCCAAATGCTTAAAGATCTGTACCGGCCAGGATATGACACTACTCCCTGCTGCTCTCACAAGGCCATAGATTGTGCAGACATTGTGGCCTCCAGCAATTGGAGATCTGATGACTGCAGATGGATGTTTCCTGTGCTTTGCACTCAGCTCTCTACATGGCTTTCCCACCCGTGTGCCCACCAAGCACCCGGATCAGGTCTCTTGAGAATTTTTTCCACATGGGATGCCTCTAAACTGGCCCAGAACCCACATCAGCGGTCATGGAGTTAGGTACTTAGCCCCACATCCTGGGCCTATTTCCTACTGAGAATAATTAGAACACTCCTGTGACCAGCATGGACCAGCATGCAGACATGCTGTAAACCACATCATTCATCTCCGTCCTTCACCCGTGCCAAGCATACCTCAACACAGGAGAACTTTGGTCCTTGTTTGTGATTTCGTCTGTCACTTAATTCCCTAGAGACTTAACTCATTGCCTTAGGGCATACTTTGCTCTTTGTTCATTAGTTTATTTTTATTCTTATTTTTTGCATCTACTATGCTCATCCTGTAAATAAGGTGTTTCAAGACACTGCAATAACAAACTAGACAATCCAAGCTCTTTGTCACATTTTTGCTGTTCCTGGGATTGAGTACACAAGAAGCAGTCAGCTGTGTCGGGAATGTTCATGGACAGTAACTTCCTTATGCAACCTTCCTTTCCCCTCAAAAAAAAAAAAGAAATCTTTCCTTTTTTAATCAGATGGTGGTCTTTCATTTTGCAAGTTACTTCAAATTCAAATCTGCCCTTAAGCAACCTGTGGTTCAGTTTTGCTCTAATTGAAACTAATGAGCCATCTGCTATTAACTTGTATCAAGTAGGACAGAGCCTTTCTTTCATACAAGATACTCATGATTAACTTCACTGACAGGCACTTAACCAAAATTACAAAACATGCCAAAATATTTAATTTCTTTCCCTTGCAGCAGGTCACCCTGCCACAAAGGCACTGCTGCGCTGCTGCTGCATCTCTTCTGGCTCCCAGGTATGCATTGCAGCAGCAATCCTAGCGTCTGCAGCGCTGAGGAAGGGATCTTTCTGGCAGCGCAGAAAAGAGAGAAGTTTTTATTCAATACTAAGCAGATATCAAAAGGCCTTTGCATAACGGTCTTCTAATGAAAATTAAAATAAGGATAATGAAACCTTCAGAGATCTGCTGAGTTCTGAATAAAGCCCAAATTATCCTTTCCCCAGTGGAGGGTGATACATACAGAAGCAGGTAGACAAAAAGATGTGTAGATTTTATAATAACCCCATCTGCATATTAGAGCTGATATTATACAAGAGAGCTACAGGCAACAGGAAATACAGTTTGGTTCACCCTGGTCGCATAATTATTTCCAAGATCACCAAGCTTTACAGTCAGAATTCATGATTCAGCTGAGTGAACCCATCTAATACCAAATGCATTTGATTATAAGAATGTTTTTTTAATGAGATATGTGTGCTTTTGCCTCCAGAATACCTGAACAACCAACTTGACAGATCAAGTCACCAGTCTCAACTTTGGGACTCCTTAAAGATACACATTGTTCTTGGCTACCACTTCTTAATGCAGGATAGTCTCAGTAATGTTGGTTTTGTTGGGTTTTTTTTTTCTCATAGAGAATATATTTAAAGTTACAAGCTTGTACCAAATGCTGCACTACTCAAAAACCACATTTTCAGCAAATGGCATTTGACCAGTCCTACTTTCTGTTTACTGATTTAACCTATATTATCTATCATATTAAGGAGACATAACACCATTGTATTTAGGTACCTTCTATGTAAACAGAAATTTAGGATTAGTTCCTGCCACAGAAGGATCTATGCAGCCAGGTGTGGGAACACTGCCATGCTGTACACAGGGCTGCTGCACCTCAGCTTCACTCTTTGTCAAAATAGCTTCTGATCTTTTCACAACCTTCAAAACAGCACTTAAAATTAAACCTCAGGGTTAGTGTAGGCAAACTCTGAGAGCTCTGTGCAAAACAAGAGGTATGGAAATACAAAAAATTGAATAAAGCATGATAAGTTGCATATGTAAGAATATAACTTGGAGATAAAGCTTACAAAACAATTTGCTCATTCTTTATATTTATTTTCTATTTATTTTTCTCTTTCATATTTAAAAGATTTAGTGTTACATTTACAAGTCTATATGGTAGAATTTACATCAAATCACTATCCCACCCTCTTTCCAGAGATCTCCGTACTCTGTGACCAGAACAGTTTATATCACTCAGTCTCCTCAGAACTCAAGAACAGATACTTCTTAGTGTTTTTCCAAGCAGTATAAAACCAAGAAAGCCAGCAGTACTCCAGCCCTTAGATGCCCTATTGACTGGTCTTTAGTTGCTGTTAAACAGAAATCAAAACTGAAGCCAAAATTGTACAGATACTGGTCCAAGACTTCTACAAGACTCTTGCCCCCTAAAGTGTTTTTGCCATAAAATAGGAATGAATGAATACCGCCCTCATTCAGTTCTGGTTTTCCTCCTTCTTCAGCAAAGACCTCATCTCAGTCTACACATGCAGCTGACACTCAACATCTCAGTTCTTTAGGATGTATAAATGACAGCCGATCTCTTTCCAGCCTTCCACTAAAATATGATCGTACTAAGCTGTATCCTTGATAAATATCCTGGAGCAGGTATCTATCCACCCGTATCTACAGCAGAAGCGGAACCAGGAGCTGCACCATACAACATCTCATATTTCTGTATCCCATGATGTAATCACTAGGCATCTGCAGCTACCCCTGTCCCTCTCACGTGGAAACATGTTTGCCTAAAAGTTGAGCCCGAGCTGCTTGGTGCCCGTGTGCTGCAGTGAGCTGAATAAAGGTTTCAGCACTTAAGCACAGGCTCAGAACTCAAGCACTGGGCTGAAGCTTCGGGTGAGTCAGACATCCATGTAGATATACAAGGTCTCTCATAGCACTTTCTGATGTCTGAGTCAATATTTAAGTTGCCTGCATCAATGCATTCGTTGCCTCTTTTCAACAAGTGCAAAGAGTACTTGAAGAAGACACTACTTTAAGTAATAAGATATTTCTCCTTCTAATGTCTATTGGGATTGTTCCATGTTATAAGGTTGGGGTTTTTTTAGTATTTGTGATATTTATTATCTCATTCTTATTCAAGGCAAAATAACCTACCTTTTAGATCTAATGGTTTGCAGTTGATGATGAAAACATCACCATGTTTAGTCCTTATGCTTGGGTTCTGGTTGGTACCAGAATGAGAAGGATAAAACCGACTCTAAAAGGCTGTTCTTCCATTAAAGCTGGCCAGACACATGACAAAACCTGTTCTAACAGGGCCTGAATCTCACCTGATTTGCCACCGTTGAGAATTTGTTCCATGGAATGTTCACTTCTTAGGGTATCTATGTGTCCCACCTGCGTGTTTAGTGTTTCTCCATCTCTCCCTTTTATGTTCTATGCCCTACTTCATTCCATACAAAACTGGGGTATGACCCCTGCTTTTTGTGTTTTCAGGAGATTACTGGTTCTGTCTTCTATCTCATCTTGGATGTAGTAGATACCGAATGCCATGTACTCAGCAAAAGGTTGTGGAAGAACTGTACAACCAGATTTGCTCATAACACTGTAAGGATTATATTTTCTTATTTAATCTCAGGTATGATGAGTTACTCAGGTACTACTGATGACAGCAAAATCCCTACACATGCCTTTTTAGTAGGCAGTAGAGCTTAGAAGAAATCAAACCCCATTTTTTAAGGTCCACAGTTTTCCTCTGTAATTTCTAGTCAGTTAATGAACTGGTAAGATTTATTCTAAAAAATGAAGAATAAAAGACAGTTTCTGGCCAGACCTCATAAGCAGACATAACTAAATAGCCATGCTAGGACACTGTTTAGAATAAATGGTTTATGTTTTGTAGCAACCCTGTAAGAATTTATTTTAAAGATAGCCTGTCAAGAAGGCAATAAAAGAAACTCACTTTCATATAACATGCGATTTTTAGTTCAGTTTAATTCCACTTTTATTCTGACAACTTTGCAAAAATTGCACTGAAAGAGGAGAAAAAGAAAGCTCAGCAAGATAAGCTGCAAGGACAGAAAGTGGTCTAAGACTATTGCTACAGGTGACCAACACAATCATGAACATGGGAAAAAAAACCCTTATGAAATGAAGAATGAAGAGAAAAAAAGCCTCAGGTGCTAAAAAAAAGAAGTTATGTGGGAAAAGAAAGATGTTATGGTTAAATTGTTCTAGGCTGCTTCTTAAGTCAATCACTTTTCATTTTTAAATTAAAAACCGGAAAAAATAAAAGGAATTCTGCTTAGAGTGCTCTCAGCAAGACAAGGGTGCAAAGCATATGTGGTCGATATGGTTTCAGTGAAGTCAAGAAATGTATGTTCTGGAGGCCTTGATCATCCATGTGGCAATATTTAAGAAGCACTCAGAGACTATACATTCAACTTTTAAACATAAAGGTACAATGGATATTAATAGGCCAGTATTCTTTTCCTGCCATAAAGTCAGGTTTTTTGTGTGCAAGGGTGATATTATGGTGCCACAAAAGTGATTTAGGGTCTTTCCTGCCACTCTCCTTCCTTACTATGGGGAGATGGAGAAGAGGGAAGGTGGTTGACAGGTGACAGAATCCAGACACTCTGAGTTGATCTCCAGGTTTAGCTCTCCGGGTTCTAGAAACAGAACCAGCTGCCAGTGCAGGGGCCTGGCCAGGAAAGCACTCTGCGACACTTGGGCACTTCTTACCTGCCAGAAGAGTGGCCTTGTGTAGGGCACCCTGCCAAGCACTGCACCTCTACAGATCAGAATTACACCAAGGGAAGATCTGTCCTTTTATTTCTAAAGGAGATACTTAGAAATGTGCTTTATTGCCATTTGAGTGTTAATGCTACTTTTTTCTTGAAAAGAATTCCATGACTGCAAGGAGAAAATGAACCCCTCACTGTCTAGGTACCAGATGATCAGTGCAAAGGGTGCAATATTAATTGTTTCTAAATGTTTATATCGGTTTAGGTTTATGGTCAATGCAAAGCAACTATCTACATTAATCAGGCAAGAAATATTGCTCATCTGAATACTTATGAGTGCATTTTGCAACCAGGTATGTCTTTATTTAACACACTTAAAAAGAGGACTGGAAAAACACTCTTTGCCATATAGCATTACTTTAAATTCTAGTTGTAATTATGGCACCACAGCACTTCCATTAGCTTTCAGCTGCCCTAATTTTCTCAAGTCAGTGATCATAAGACTAGCATGGTCCTGCAGCTCAAAGCAGTGCAGTAATAACTGTTTTCATCTCTGGGAAACCCAGCACAAGCTCTATATGGGCTTTTACCTCTGGTCCAAAAAGCATTTTTACGGGTTTGTGAAAGGCAAGTAAAAACAGCAAGCCCACTGTCAGCAGGTTAAGCTTCCTTCTTCAGTGTCTCTGCCTCCACTGCAACGTTTTTATGGGTCTGCAAATTTATAAAGTTTCAAAACCATTGAATGAATCAGACCACATATTGTCACTCCAGGGGACTGGAGGACAAGTGGGTAGGGTTGGGGCATCGATGCATTTACAGTGACCTACGCTATCAAGATGCTCTTATGGTTATGCTTTCTCTAATGACATCCTTTTGTTTGAATAAAAAGTTCCCCCCAGATACATTTGCAGTGTATGCCCTGACTGCCCAGTTGATGACTGTACAACTGAGCCCAGATATTTGGAGGCTGCTGTTCAAAGCCTTGCCAAGTTCAATGAAGAGAGTGAACAAACTCATTACTTCTCTGTCCTCAATGTCACAAGAGCTTCAATGCAGGTAAGCCAAGGCTCATCTGACTTGCTTTAGCCCTCAGGAAATATGGATCCACCTATTTATATGATTTGTTATGTTTTACGATTACTGCTATGCAGAATTCTGGGAAATGAGGATCTGCATTGATCCAAGACTTTTACTCCATTTATTGCAAAAAGAAGGGCTTTACGCAAAACTCAAGACACAGATTTATGTTCCAAAGTTTAGGAAAGATTTGTTGTGATCTTTTTCTTTACTACCACCATGAATTCATAACTTCCTAATAGAAAGTATTAAACAAAGCACAGTCATCCCTTCTCACACATATCTCTAATTCACTGAATGAGTTTTAACAGAATTTTAAACTAATTTTAGACTAACAGAGTTATAGAATAGAAAAAGTGATCCTGTTCATTTAAGTAGCCAGAAATGATCAACAAGGCACTGATGAGGGTCTTTAGATATGTACTTCTGTGTGGATGCTAACTTATTACAAAACCCAAACTCAATTCAGCTATAGCCAATCCAAGAGGTACTAAGATTGTGCATATATATGATGTAAAAAATAACCAGGCAATAAAACAGCACTGGCAAAAAAATCATTCTCCTGTAGTACAACTAATAGTAATGCCCCAAGTATAACCTGCTCCTTCCACACTAAGCAGTGAGTTTTGCATCTATTGCAAGGTCTGTAGGATTCTTCCTTCTTCCTGACACATGCACAAGTTCTAAATGCTACTGGTCTCTCATTAACAGTGGGTTGTTGGTCCTGCATATTTTGTAGAGTTTTTAATTCAGGAGACATCCTGCTCCAAAAGTGACATAATTGCTGACATCTCCAAGAGCCACTTCCATCGGATCTGGCTGTCAGTACTTCTCCTTGTATAAACACCTGGTTTTCAGATACTATGATTCCTCAGTGAATACTTTTCCTATCCCTTTAGTTCTTTGCAGACAAGGAACAAAGCCCACAGGTATCTTTTTATGGGCTCCAGCTCTATACTGTCTTGTAGCTGTACAAACTGCTTTAGAACAGAGAAAACATTTCAGTAAAAATTCTGAATTCTTAGGTAGAAGACCATGAACAAAACAAAACAAAACAAAACCCCACAAACCACACCCAGAAAAAAAAGAAAACATCCAGAAAAAGGTGGAGTAGCCATCACCTTGCAAAACTGAATCATTCTGAAGGATTTCTTTTAAGTAAACCAACATAGACAATAAATCACAAACAATGCATAAAGAGTATATTCATACTACAATCAGGTCAGCTAATGAAAACATGTAAGAACTAAGGAAAAAATTATAAGAGAAACTGAAAATCCAAATGGGCATGCTGCCAAGAGATGACATTTCAAGCTCTATCAACTGAGTTCCAAGCCATGCTACCTACAGCCCAGTAAAAACACACCTATAAGAAACAACAGTTTTTCATGGTTTCTTTCACTAGTATGGTGTGAAATTGGTTTTGCCTGAAAACTGATACTATGGTCTATTACACAACTTGACTGTATGGGGATAGTCTGCTGCAGCAGAACTTAACTGTGCTGTTGTATTTGGGCATTAAGTGGCCGGCTCAGTTTTATTATTGTATTACCTAACTCTCCTTTGCAAACATAAAGCCGTTTTCAAAATGCTGCCTGTCTTTGTAAACTTGCCAATCCCAAAATAAAAGTTTGCACAAGCTGCTTATCCCTACAAATACATGTAGAAGCTATAACTATTCAGCCTCTAATAATCACTTATTTTACAAGATAGGAGTTAAGTATCAGTGCTACAATGTGAAAAAATGCTTGCATTTTCTTCTTTCAACAAATAGGTTTCTGCAAAGGCTTGGTAGTAAACAGTGACTTGGAATATAAACAGTCTGTCAAAATATCCTGTGAAATCTTCAGTTAGCAGGTATGTCTTAATCTTATTTTAATATTGCAAGAGTGATGTCCTTTAAAAAAACAAGAATTGAGCTCTTGAAAGCCCAGCCATTTTTAAGTTTTCTTATTCACAAAGATATGGGCTTCAAGAAAGTGATAAGGCGAAATCAGGAAGAAATCTCTCTTGTGATAAAACAGACTGTTGCTGGGTGCATAAAAAGGCAACAGGATAAGTATAGGATCAATGGTACAGAATGTGTTCATAATGCTTTAAAGAAAGTGTAAATAACAGAGGGAATGCAAAGAGCAATAACTGTGTAGTTACCCAAGTTTCATGCACCCATCTCCGCTGGCATAAGAAGTAGTCCCATCTGTCTGTCCTTTGGGCTTCTGTCCTGCAGCTGGCCTTTGCAGACTGGAACTGCAGCAGATGCTCAGTGTGAAGGTTGACCTTGTTCATATCTGAAAGAATTTGGAATAGTTTCAATATAGGTAATGCTTGTTGCCTGTTTATTTAGGATTCTGCCACTGAAGAGGGGAAACAGCAAGCTAATCAGACACCTGGAAAATCCATCCAGAATCAACAAGCTTCCCCTTCAGAAACCAATCCTTTCTCCTCACACCTAGAAAAAACAGTGGGGTGGGTTAAAATTCTACCCCCTTCAACTGAGGATATCTCTTTCCAAAACTCACCAGAAAGTCAAAAGGAAAATAAAGATGGAACACCAGTTCCACCTGAGGCTACAGCCTCGGTGGGATCTGCACCCAGTCTTAATGGAGAAAAGAATCAAGAAGACAAATCAGACTTGAACAAACCAGACACTGGACCAGTTATTCTCCCTTTTCCAGAAGAATTTTCTCTCAGACACATGCCCAGGAGAAGCAAAGGTGGTAAATTCCATCCTTCAGTCTTTGATACCTAAAAAGCCTACCAAAGCCTAATCGGTATCCAATCACCTCAACTACCTGCAACAGAATAATGGCCACAACGGCAACTTGATCTTTCGATTTGTGTAACATCTTTAACTAAACAAATCGCTTACTACACCCCTCATCATTGGAGATCTCAGTTTTAAGAAAGCACAAGAATAGATTAGAAAAATTTTTTTAAAAAGGCTTTTTCTCACAAAAGAATTTGGCTTTTAATTCTCAAACTCCTCTCATCAGTAAGAGCATGGAGGAAAGGTAACTGCAAAGGGTAAAAGAACTTGCAGGGCTGAGACAGCCCAAAGGCATCAGATGAAAATACTCTCAGTCGCAAAAGTCTCTCAGAGCACAGGGCGGGATGGCTGATCGCCAAGGGATGATGAGACGGAGCGGAGCGTGACAACCAGGCTGGCAGGGCAGGGGCCTGTCCCATGGGAGCTGAGCGAGGCGAGCAGGGCATACCCAGGGATGGTGGGCAGGTGATGGGAAGAGGCCAGACCACCTCCCAGGTTCATGCGTGAAGAGGCAGTCTGAAGTCAAGCCAGGAACATGCGTTACTAAGTCAGGGTCAGGATCTGGTCTGGTTACAGTAACACGAGTCAGGCAAAACACAGTGGTGTTCCGGCAAGCCCACAGCGAGGAGGCAGGTCTGAGGGTGGGCCAGGAAGACAGGCTGCAGGTCTGAACCTGGGTCTGGCCCAGGAGGATCCATGGCCAGGCACAGGCACAGCTGTGGGAGCCGTAGGGCAGGCCAGGGCCGAGGTGCCGCAGCCTCAGCCTAAAGCAGCTCCCGTGGCAGGGGGGTCGGGTGGGGACTGGCCATGGCCTCCTCGCAGTGCTGCCTAGGAGCCTGTCCCCAGGGTCCCCCAGGGCAGGGGGAGAGCCCAGCTGTGCTGTCACTGTGCTGGCCCAAGCCCCGGCAGCCAGTCTCCAGAGCGGGGATGCTCTCAGGGACCCGACAGGGTCACGCCTGCTGCCATGGTGTATAAACAGGGAAGAGGACACTGGCTGGCATTAGAAGCTAGTGGGTTTTTATTATTTTATGGGTTAACCTCCTAATTACAATGTGATGACCTTAGCCTATTTTTTAATTTCCTGTGGACAGTCTCAAGAAAGATTATTTTTTTCCTAATGCTTTATACCCTCACCTAAAGAAAGTGGAAAAGCTACCCATGTGTGAAACCAGTCCCCCCAGTTCTGGCTGGTGGAGAATCAAGCCCAGGCTATTCAGATTCTTACACTCTTCTGAGCCTGCTGTGCAGGAAAAATGATGATTTACAAAATCAGCCTAATTCTTTCTTGAGAGAGGTCATATTAACTGCCTTGTAATAAAAAACACCGGGATGGTCTACAGCCTGTAGCTAAGAAAAATCGATTTCACTAAAGCCACAGTACAGCAACCGTACTGACGGTAACAGATATAAATAAATGAGAAGACAACAACAGGAGAAGGAGTGAACATGGGAAAGAAATGTCATTTGTGGCAGAAGTACACTGATATTTGCAATAATTAGGGGGCTTGTATGAGACCACAGAACCCTTCTCTAGTTGCTACCAGATCTGTAACATCATTTGTTCAAAACAAAATCAATAAAGTATTATTGGTTTTGAAGCTTTCATGCTGCTGAATATTCCTCAGAGATGTCGGATAATTTCTCCATTGAAAGAGTCTTTCAACAAAAAATGATGTTTTTGTTAAAGTATTCTGGCATTGCACAATTTGATTAAGATTTATTCTATTATCATTATAAATAAAATATAAATAAAACTGTTATTTTATTTTGAGTGAAGACAAAATAGTATTGAAATTTTTATGGAGTTATGTTCACAGAAGTTATGTTCACAAGATATATGGGGTTTTTTTTCAGATCGCAAAACTCTTAAATCATGAATTTTATATAAAAGAGTAATTTAATTTCTTCAAAGATGAAAATAAGCCAAAAAGTGATGTGTGAAACACATCAACTGAGCCAAAATAATGCCATTTCAATTCTGTATCATGAGAAATTTCAACATCTTTTCGTTTCATTCATTTCGCAGTAGAAAACCAGATTCAGGTAGTTCTCCAAAAATCATATATTTCAAATTCTATCCAATTCTTATCACACTGTGAGCTCTAGACTGTGTCACCTTTCCCTTTTTTATCAAGTCATCAAATTACATATTTTTGCTTTTCCCGGGGGAATTTTCACCTTTGCCAGCTCAGGTTTCCCTACCTGACCAGTGAGTTCTACCACCCCACACAGCAACTGCTGATTTGCCACATGCCCAACTGGGGGATACTGAGCGACACCCCACCCCCTCACACAGAGCATGTTATTTGAGCAAACATTCCAGTTTCACACAGAGAATGTTTTTTATTCAGACACTGATAACCAATGGTCAGTGAACTCCAGGGCTGTTGATGTTTTTGCCAGATATTATCAAGCCTTTATCTCTGATATATAGGTGAGGCATCATGAATGCAAAAAAAAGGGGTAGTAACACTCAAAGGGCACAGAATAAGATATGCTGCCTTATTTATGGATACATTGGCTATGCATTTGCTCAGATTTTTCAGATACCTCATCCTTGGACAGATAAAAAGGTTTTTAAAAGCCGAGCCCAGACATCAAAGTTCTCAAGATGGATTTAAAAATCAGGGTTTTTATAAAATAAGTTAATTACAAATTTCCCTGACTTCAGAACCTGCCCATTGTACACACTTCATGGTTAAACATTTTCTTATGCATCTCTGAGATTATACATGTTAAGCAGCTCTCTTCAGAATGTACATATATTATCTTGATTTCAAAGGTAGCTTTTAAAGTCCTCCCACTAGATATAATCCTAAATAATATACAATCACAACAGTTGCCAATACTTCCCTTACGTTAACCTACTACAACTTTTAAGCATGAGTTAAAGCTTACGTTTTAAGAACAGCATAATGTCACAAGCCCTGAGAAAGTCAAAACCCTTGGAACTTCCTCTGACACCATTCTTAACAGGAAATTTTAAGTGCACCTTTTTCCCCACTCTCTCAAGCCCCTCAGCAAACAGATCACCCTTGTAACATACCCTTAAGGTCATTAACTTAAAAGTTGGGAGTTTTTTCTAAAAAGCCATTTGCAGCCAAAGACACTAAGGACAGGACAAGGAATACTGACACCCTTTTTATTAGTTCGTGAGGCCTTCTAACTGACAAGACATTTGTGACTACATTGTCAATCTGCTCACTGGACAGTTGGTCTCCTCCAAATCGCATTTGAACTTAAGGTCTGTTTGAAGGAAATTGATAGACAAGGTGGTGAATCTTCTAAGAGTTTGATAAAAAATTTGTGACTGGTAAAGAAAAATAAGGTGTGGGCAGGGAGGGGAAGCTATAGCTGCAGCTGTTGCTTTGAAGACCATAACTGAAGCAAATTTGTATAACATTGCATATGCATCAGAGGGCAGCCTGTTTACACCCAGCAGAAAAAAATGAGGCATGAATAAAAATGTGATGCATTTACAGATTTTTCCATCATATTTGTGGGCATTGCTTTTAAATGTGGTTACCCCAAAAACTGCTTTTTTTTTTTTTCTTTTTAACTAAGGTGTAGAATCTGGACACCTTGGCCTGATGCTATGAGGCATCACAGGCTAAATGAAAGTAAAGAGAAGCTAACAAGGAGTTCTCCTATAAACAACAGGAGCCATATGTGTCTTTGCTAGCTGTACTCTTGCTTGGGAGCAGAAACAGCAGCAGCTGCAGAGCAGCATAGGCTACAAGACAGATAAGGTCTTGCTACCTGCGTAATTGCCTGAGCGGTACGATGTGATAATCCCAGCCTGTGAGTGAAGCGCTACTGTGGAAGGTAGAGAAGAGTCAGCTAGCGTGGCACTTGTCCTCCCAAGAAATCAGAGATAGCTGTAAATAGTCTTGCTTGGGAGCAGAAACAGCAGCAGCTGCAGAGCAGCATAGGCTACAAGACAGATAAGGTCTTGCTACCTGCGTAATTGCCTGAGCGGTACGATGTGATAATCCCAGCCTGTGAGTGAAGCGCTACTGTGGAAGGTAGAGAAGAGTCAGCTAGCGTGGCACTTGTCCTCCCAAGAAATCAGAGATAGCTGTAAATAGTTATGGCTATACTTTGGGGGAAGATAGTAATTGGTTGTTGAATGGGTTGAACGTGTTCTCCCAGATTTTTTGGAGAGAGGTTTAGGATGGATGTTTACTACCCGCTTCTTAAAATTTGAATGTGGATCACCTCTTACTGCTGCGAGTCAAGCCTTGGTAAAGGTCACAGAGATAAGCAAACTTTTGACAAGCTCGTCGAGAGAAACACCATGTTTGGATAAATATTCCTGTTCCTGCCAGCAATCTGTTTATAGAAATAGCTGCATTAAAACAACGCACAAAACTTACAAGCAATAAATATATAAACAAAATAAGTATTCAAAAAGCTATCAAACTGGATGAGAAATTATAAAAATACATTAGACTGACTCAAGTACAACCAATATTTAATTAACTGCTCTGACTGTGCCTGGAGTGCTTGTCCATGCTGTAGTTTAATAATAGAGTCCGGCTTTTCTTTTCCAAAGAAATCAAGGACAAAACTCTCTACAGTGGAAACAGAATGTTACTTCTACTTCTGCAGTCAATTTTGCAGAAATTGTATGCTTGTTACTGTTGATTCATAGTGTTTCTACTTCATACCTAAAAAATACATAAGGCACGCTCAAGGAAATGATCGGTGTCACAATGCACAGCACAAAACAAAAGGAGAAAAGAAGAACAAACAATTTGCAAACAATAGACGACTAAGGGAATTTATGTTATATGTTACCTAATCTGATGCCTTTCTTCAATATGACTGCCCATTTGAAAAATTAAACAGCATTGTAAGTAATGAATGGAGGTGTGATTTGGAACACAGCAATGATGTGAATATTATTTTTAACTGACAAGATGTATTTCAAATGCCTTTGATTATTTACACAACACTTATTTCACCACTTTTTTTTCAGTCTTTCAGAAGAAATTCTGAAATATTATAATGAAACATTATAAAAGCATAAACAAAAGAAATGCCCTACTGCATCAGAAGAG